GAGCAGGATATAGAGAGACAAAGAGAGAGACACAGAGAGAAAAGGAAAGAAAGAAAAAAAGAAAGAAAGAAAGAAAGAAAGAAAGAAAGAACGGAAAAAACTTAAAAGAAAGAGAAAAAAAGAGAAGAAAGTGTGTATAGTTAGGGAGGGAGGGGGGAGGCGAGAAGAAAAAAAACGAGGGAGTAGAGGGAGTAAGCAGAAGAGTAATAGACAGGGAGGGTTTGGAATTTATTTTTTAAAAGATTTCCGAAGGGGCCTGAGGTGGGAGCCACAGGGTGCTGGAAAGGGGTGGGAGGGGAATTGAGGTGGGTATGGGTACAATGATGTATATTATTATGTGGCGTGGGGGTGGATTGGGGAGGGGGGGTTACAGATTGTGTGTGGGAGGTGGGAGTGGGAGGCGGAGGGTTGGATGGGGTGGATGGGGAGCGGCATTGAAAGAGTTGCAGTTAGACTAGTGAAAAAAAAAATCAATGAATCATTTCCTCTGAAAGGCGCCGAATTAGAACGTGAAGCCTCGTGAGACAAGCTCAGCTTCCTCTAATTGAAAAGTTTGATCGATCAAGTTTTCCTTGGGCAATTTGTCCAATGCTCAAACGTAGATCCTGCGTGCACAGAATATTTTTCATCTTTTGTATTTGTTTTGGACTCTTAGGAAAAATCCCTGGTCATTTACGTTTTAAAGCACACAAGGCTATCCATGGTAACTGACGGAACATTTGGACTGTACTTTCTTACATTAATAACACTGTAATTCAATATCAATTAATTTATTTCAATTTTAAATGATCGAAACATGGGAAAGATATTATTAAGAATCATATTATTGAACCCAGTTATTAAACAAAATAAAGTATCTAATGCAAATTCTGTGACGTGTTTAGTGTCGGTAACTTACGGGACAAATGAGATACCTTTTCTTTCACGTCATTTACCGTGGAATAGCCCTACAAACAGTCGAACTTGCCCAAGACGGTCACCGATTGTGAAACAGAAAAATAATCATCTAAGACAGTAAGTTAATCCTTTTCGACAGTGTAATTTTAATATAGGTGTTTCTACATCCTCATCGACAAAATAGACATAGATACTTTAGGAGGCGGCCTTGCGGCTTTGCCTGTCAGGGCTAACCCAGGCCCAGAGGGATACAAAACCCCAACAGAACGACCGAGATGCTGGATTTTAAAAAAATCTCCCTATTCGGAGATCCAACCCAGGTCTCCTGAGTGCGTCAGACACTGTCAGACAGAGCTGGGAGAGCTGATTGAAGAATCGATTCTTGCACCGATTCCTTCGATTAATGCTACGTACGGAGGAACATTTAGATTCCTTTTGATACGATGTTGTCCTACGGTTAACAATTTCTTTATTCATTAAAATCTTCTTTTTCAAAGAATTTTTTTTTATGTTGGTGCCTCGCGGTGTTCCGAAAGCAAGATTATCCTAAATCCTGACGTTGTTCGGAGCCAACCAGGTAACCACTGGAAGAAATCACATCTTTAGAAAGTAATTGGGTTCGGAGACGATTCTTACAATTCCTAGCTTTCAATAATCGGGAACATAACTGCCCACCACTCGGCGTCAGAGAAGCGCCTAATGGCTACATACAGGCCCTAAGAGAAAGAAGACAAAAACGCTATTG